TCTTTGAGAAATGTTTTGATAAGTTTTTATCATATCTTGTTTTGGGAACAAATTCTGCAACCGTTTTCTTTAAACGATTACTCTGATTTATAAAACAAAGCATAAACAAATAGGTCTTTTCTGGCCGTGAAATTGGGGATGTCACAGTACGTACCGGGGACCAGGTGCTACACACTCTTTGCATTGTACATGTCCACAACCTATTTCCAACTCACAAATTAGCTAAAAAAATAAAATAAAATAAAAAACTATGTACTATGAAATATTAAACAGAAATTTAGGGTGAAATATTGCCATAACCTAAAAGATTGAGGGTCAGTTCAAACGCCTTCCTGTATTTCTTTTCATGCTTTGAGTTCCGGTTAAAGGCAATGCCATTACAGCAAGTTGAGCATGACTTGCATGGAAACACAAAAACTGAAAAAGACGTAAATGCCCTTGTCTACATCAAGAATCTTATTAGGCACTGTTTGTTACGTGACAAGACTTTACAGAAAAATATCTTTTTCTTATGTAGAAGACGTGAATACCCTTGTCCTCATCATCTTTTGCTTTGCAGAAATGACGATAATACCCTTGGTAGAGCACCGACTTTTACAGCCTCTTTCAAATTATGCAAACAGTTCTTTTCTTGTTTTACAACTCGCTGCTGCAATGATTGGTTATCCTAGGAAGAAAGTTGAGGCTGTTAAACGTTAACAAACTTTAGTTTAATTATATTATTAAAAATAATAGCCAATTTTTAGTACTTATAATGTAAGAAGAGACATACCTTTTTCACCACCATACCTTTATGGTCAAAGACGATGATGGGTGGTCAGAAGTGGAACTTATCTCGGGCAGATCTCTAAGCTTCGGGCAGGACATAATATGAAGACGTTTAAGGCACAAGAGGTGTTGTAAAACCTCTGAAAGTGATTCCGCATTCATAAAATCATCGAGTGTTAAAGAAGCTAGAGATTTTGGAAGAAGAAAAGACAATGGATAACTTTTTTAGGTTCACTTTCTTATTCGATAGTCTCGTGTTTTAATTTTGACATCTTTAAGCTAAAAAATTGTTGAAATCGAGTAAAACTCTATATGGGCAAAAAATAGGGATGAGGAAAACCGTAAGAAATCAAAAAATTATAAAAATGGATGAAATCATCGATTTTAGGTTCAAGATTTCAAAATAGAAAACTCGTTTTTTGTACCCACTAAAATCGAACCGACCCATTTTTGTAGAAACCAATCAAAACCCAAAAGCCAACCCATAATATATATTTCTGATTATTTAATATTTATTATCCACTTTAATATATATATATATATATTATATATATATATATATATATATATATATATATATATATATATATATATTAATAAAAAAATAAAGAGCGTTGGATTTATGGAATACTCGAACCAATAATTTAGCCCGCACATCTTTCTTGCAACAAAAAATTTAATTACATGTTTGTAGTTTAATTAATTAATCAAAATATTAAAATATAATACAAGAATTATATCTTGAGGCCAAAAGAGGTGGTGGTTACGTGACTAAGATTTGAAATGGGCATGCCATCGTTTTCAAACGAACAAGTCAGTGAGTGAGTATAATATAGTTTGGTGCGTTATTGGTCAAAATTGAACTGTAAATCGTAAATACGGATTTTCCAATAAAGAAACCGAATGGTTCGATATTGTGGTTCGGTTTCTTGTGGCTGCGGTGTGGTTTTTAACCGCGTGAGGATTTTTGTGCAGTTTTTTTTTCCATTTGTCATATGCAAAGATTTTAATGGAATTTTTAGTTGATAAACCAAGTAGAAAGATTACGTAGGACGTGTAATTTTTATATCTTAAACAAACATAGTTCGATAATTCAATAATGAAGGCATTTTTATGGATAATATCTAGGCTAGTCAAGAATGCATAACTTTAATAAGCATAAAAAGAGTTGAAAATGTTTTTTTCGATGCGGTTCGTTTATTTTCGGTTATTACAAAAATAAAAACCGCACTGCATTGAAAATTTTCGGTTTTGCAAAATTAAAAATCGCATCATTGGTTTTCGTTTCGGTTTCATTTTATCGGTTTCGGTTTACACGGGTTTTTTTGGTTTTCTTTATTTGTGGTTCGGTTTTTCTCACCCCTATAACCGAAGACCACAAGATAAATGTTTTTTTATAGATACAGAAAAATACACAATAGATTAATAAAATGGTTAGGAAAAAAAATACTAGTAATCCTTTACCACTAGGATTCGTGTTTATTTGACCGAAGCAAATAAAAACAATATTAGAAAATATCTCAAAATTTTTACATTTGTTGGAAAATGGGTTAAAACCCAAACCCCATGGACCTATGGGTTGAAGCTGAGAAACCGAACACATTCAAAAACCGAACCCAATGGATTATAAAAATCGAAAATCGAGATTAGCGGTTAGGTTCGGTTTTAAAATTGATCCAAACCGACTCATGATCACCCTTAACTAAAACAACTATTTATGCATTTTTGGTAAAATGACAAATCTCTTTGAAACATTGATGTTAAACCTAAGTAATTTACTATAGTGTTATTTTCATTTACTCCAGTATCACATCTCTTTGGTATATTTGAATAAATATTTTATTGAACGAGCTTGATTGCATTACTTAACATTAAAATATCTTTGATATTATTTCGAATGATCAATGTTATACATAACATTTCTGTTATCCAACCTAACACTATACTTTTCAACAAAAGATTCATCATTTCGTTTCCTATATATAATAAACCATCATCATTAGGTGAAGTTTGATTAGAGAAGTTCGTCGGAAAGTTTTTTAAACACTTACTATCTACTATGAATGGGAATTTCATGGATCATAACCATTAATTCACTCGCAAGTTGATACAAGTCTGGATCTTCATGAATGTTCGAAATCTCGGCCGAAATACATTGATCAATATGTTCAACGGTACAAAGTTTGTGATTAGAGTGCATAAAGAGACATAATTGTACCTGCTTGAAACTTTCTAAATAAAAACCGTTTAAAATTTTAATTTTAATTTAACGCACCTGCTTGAACCTTTCTAAATAACGATTTCTCACTTGGGTCTTTAATCAATACATCAAGCTTGATTTTAAATAGGCTACATAGGATATTTGGTATGTCTTCAGGTTGAAGAGTTGTTTCTTTAAGAAACCGTTTAATTTCTAGCCATTTGAATTGGATGTTATAGTTATAAAAAAATCTAAATATTCGAACCATTTACAAAGATACAACATCCAAATAGTTATGCATGTATCGTGCACCACCAGTTTATATGTAATAGGGAATACACTTCGGTCAAAATTAAAAATAATTTTTCAAAGTGTATAGGTCTTATATGACATTATATATGCAAATTATATGTAAAAGGAAATATACTTCAGTCAAAATTTATTCTAGGGAATAACACTTTAAATTAGTTTTAGGAACAAAATTTATATATAATCTCACTCTATTATTGCAAACTTTGTAAGGGATTATCCACAAATTATCCATGGTTTCATATGCTAAATCCATGTATGAAAATATGTTTTGTTGTAGAGTATGTACGTGTTTGGATTTATCCAAGGAGGTTTAACTTTATATTTTTCTAAGTTAGTGTTTAAGGTCATCAATTCTAAAGGGTCTTATATTCTCCAAGTTTAACCTAATATTATATTCCATTTGTCTCATGTTAATAGTCCATGTTTTATTTGTAATTTGCCCCAAAATAATAGACTACTTATAAAAATAAATATCACTTTTACCAACATACCGGTTATTATTGGTTAACCTACCATGAAATTAAATGCAACAAAATGGTACGAATGTCATTTCATTTAATAAAGTTAGTAGTAATTAATCTGTATGTTTTTTTGTCCGTGGACAATAATTTTGGGATAAATGGAATAGTTGTCTTGGTGGTTCACAAAAAACATATACATAATAAAAAAAATTAACTCGGTCATTTATGAACTTTTTTTTTATTATTGTTGGTCATAAGCATGAATAAAAGATGAGGGTTTATAATAAAATCAAAAGTCCTTATATTTTTTGTTCGGTTACAACTCACAAACCAATTGAGCCACCACAAGAAAAATAGTTTTATAGGTTGAGAGTTAACTAGGGGTGGAAATTATTTGGTCCGGAACTTAAAAACCTGAAAATCAAATCGGACTGAAATTGATTTCATTAAGGAACCATATTCAAATTTGGGTTTTGGTTGGATTTGAAACCAAACTGAATTGTAAATTGGGTTTTTGGTTCGTGTTTCGGTCTCATGAAGTTTAAATTAAACCAAACCGAAAAACCGAATTTCATAAATCAACTAATTAAAAAATATATTGTATACTTTATATTAAATAAAAGTATTAATTCTAAAATAAAAATCATTTTAACTTATTTACTTTTTAGATCATTTTGTATGAAACTTTAGTTCTTTCTATTTGTAACTTTAGATTTCTGTATTAAAAACATTTTAATTTATGCTTGAAAATTTTTTAAGTTAATATTTGGTTTCTTTAGTTTTCAAGCCGAACCTAACTGAAGTAGAATTCGGTTTTCGGTTTTCGAATTAGAAAAAAAATTCAAACCAAATATTAACTTAAAAAATTCAATTTTGTTCGGTTTTCAAATTGGACAAAAAAAATTCAAACCGCAGAAACCGGTTCGAGGAAACCAAAAACCCGAACCTAGGCTATCTGTTTCATTACAAGTAATTCTAGAAAATTAGTTTATGGGTTGAGGCCTAACTGTTTCATTACAACTAATTCTTTGATTTTTATCCTTTAATTGCAAACTGAACTTAATTCGTTGACCAAGTGAAATGTCAAAGTAGTTGACTGGTCAATTTCTTTACCATGTACTTGCAGTGAAAGCAAACCCTAGATAACTAGCTAGCTCCCTCAACAACATCAACATCTGAAGTGAAAGCAAAGAAAACTCAGCACTCACCCATCATCAAAAGCCAACACTCTCTAACTGCATCCTCCAAATTCCACCACCATGGAATCCCAAACCCTACCGGAAAACCCACCACCACCACCAATAGCCTTTGACTACAGCTCCAATGTGGACACCTCCCGTGCTTTCAGTTCAGTGAAAGAAGCCGTGGCCATCTTCGGAGAGAAGTTTCTCACCGGAGAAATCTTCTTACCATCTCCTAAACCCCCATTCGCCTTACCAAAACAAGAAACACCATCATGGAAATCCACACATAGCACTCAAACTTCATGGAAATCATGCTCGTCTTCCAGAGAAATCGAAGAAGAGCCGCCGCCGCCGGTGCCAGTGCTTGTTACCTCCCTGAAAAAGCTTGAGTCGGAACTTGAAGAAACGAAGAAAGAGTTGAAGTTACTGAAAGAGAAAGAGTCTGAGACCGAGGTGGCTTTGGCTTCTTTAAACGCTGAGCTCCAAAAGAACATGTCAAAGATCGCAAAAGCTGAAAAGGTAGTGGAGCAGAGCTCAATGTCAGGCTTGACCCCGGTGGTAAGTGGTGGTGGAGGGAGGAAGATGACGGAGAGGAAAGTAGTGAAGAAGAAACCGATAATTCCTCTTCTGGGAGACTTGTTTTCAAAGAAAAAGGGAAGATCAAATTCTTCTATGCTAAATCCACTGTATACATCTTCTCAGATGCACTGGAATTGAAAACTTAAGGCGTTATAAGTTTCTTGCTTGCATGTATGCATTGGTCTATGAATATTCATTGCAATCATTATATTTGTTACATTTAGTGTGATTTAAATTGCTATTACTAGTTAATTTCTTTTTGGGTGTTAAAGAATAAAGAAAAAAAGAAACTGTGTAGTTAATTCTTAGTGTTTGAATTTTATGATTCTTTGAGATATTTTCATGTAGAGAAATTAAATGTCTTATTTTTTTTCCTACTTATCATTTTACCATTTTAACATGTGAAATAATGATAAGTATCTTTTAATATTATTAATTTTATCAAAATAGACACGTTTTACCATTTCATATGGATAGAAAAACAAGTAAGAAAAAAATCAGAAAAATATTTAATTTCTCTTTCATACATGACGGTTCCTAAATATGGTTTATCATTTATCGATAAATGACTAAATGGCAATCTATTAAAAAGGGTATTTGTTTAACCGCGAATAACTTTCTCTAACTTTTAATTATATTGTAAATAATTATTGTATTTTATATGATCATAAACAATATTGTTAAAATTAGATCTTGATGATAGGATCCCAAGATCCTACAACCCTTCAAGCCAAAAAAAAATGATATGAATCGCATTAAAATTTATTATGTACTAAGATTGAACCTAAAATTGTAGGATCGTATTAATTTGGTGTTTAATGTCCAAATGTGAAGAATTTGAGGAGAGTGTTCGACTTGACCTTAAGCAAAAAAGCTCAGTCGAGATCGGTATCCGTAGGGGATGAAAACTCGGATATTTTCACTCTATCTCAAGTTGAATGGGAATTATAATTGGCTTAACACCCTCGATATTGGTGGTACCTAGTGCACAAACCCTATCACATAATATGACAAACAGCCAAAAGTGTTCTTTGAAAAAAATATATTTTATGAAGATCCATTAGTCCATTTTTTTACAGACACCCCTTAGACACCCTATAATCATTTTTAGAAAAAGTCAACCTATAATGAACTTCTTGTAATCATCTTTTTCGGAAATCAATGCAATTTCAACCAATAAAAACATTTCAAACATTAATTAGGGTTGTCTAAATGGTAAAATAGGGTGTCTTATTAGTCAACCCCTTTCCTATTTCCTTCGAAGAAATCAAACAAGTGGTGTGGGATTCCAAGGAGAGTTGTGAAAAGTAATCGGCCTACCCCAAAGTTTTTTAGCCCAAAGAAATAATTCAAACTTTAGGGGGTATTTGAGATTCCTTTTAGAATGACTTCTGATTTTTAATTTATCCAAAAAGATTAAACAATACAAAAAGTGTTTGGATAATAAAAATTCTTTTAAAAATGACTTTGGGGTTTCTAAAAGTCACAAAAACTTAATTTTCCATGACTTTTTTTGTTTTACATGTAAAAGTTAAACTAAAAGTTATTTTGCTCACTTTTTCACTAATTCAAACACATTTTAAGGAACTTCTTTTACAAAAAAAAAAATTACAAAAAGGACTCTTGATGTTCAAAAATAATCTCAAATACCCTTTTAATGATTGATCAATTGAATAACCCAGACAAAAAGAGTCTAATGTCCAAAAGAATAGCCCAATAGAGGTTTAATGAATTTGGGTCTTGATGATACTGGGTAGTTCATTTGACCAGGGTTTAATCATTTTTTTTAAAACTTGAAAAAAATAGAAATTAATAATGAGGTTATTTGATTAGGGTTAGTATTTAGTTATAACTTTATTATTATAAAATTCTATTTGATTTTAGCCATATTTATCTAATCTAATTTCGTGGTAATATATGATAAGGTATGTATTAAATGATTAATAGAACGATTAATGGTTTGACCTATTTATTCTTTCAATACTTGATGTTTGATGTGATACTTCTTCAAACTTTGATTTTTGATTTTCTAATTCATAAAATGGGATTACAATCATTATTTTCTATTCTTGCAATTGATTGCTTCATTATTGATTTTCTCATCCTAAAATTAATTTTCATTTTGGGTTACATCAAATTAGTGTTGCATCATTTACCTTTATATGCCAATAATTTTTCTAATTTATTCAAACTTGTATATGCAAAGATTTAATAAAATCATTAAATATTATCTATGTCGTTTAAAAATCCTCGCTAATTCGTGAGCGATTTTAACCGACTTTTTGATCATTTAAATTATTTAAAGTCCGAAAAAATCATTTTATAAAAATGTACTACTTCAAGATATGACATTTTTTGAACAACTCGTTTTTAAATAAAAGATTAATTCTAATAATTCTTGGTCCACGATAATTCCGGAGCCAAGTCAGCCATCACTCGAAGATGCGCTTTCTCCATCTCCTCTCTCTTGCCTCTTGGGTCTATAACAAAAACCCGTAGCCAAGTCGTCTTCTTCAAAAGCTCCAACAATTTCTTACAGAGAGAATTAGGTTTTCCCTTTTGATTTTTCTGTCGCTGTTTACCAAAGAAGAACAAGAACAGCGAAGATGCACGGTGCTGCGATTTTGAGCCATTCGTCATGTTCATACGTCTGTAGGCGTCAGCAACAAACCCTAGATTACCCATCATCCTCTTATGCTTCTTCTTCTTCTTCTTCTTCTTCTTCGTCACCTTCGCCACTCTTCTGGAGGGTAGTTTGTTTTATTTATTTATTAATCTATGTGTTTTCATCTATGCCTCTGGATTTCGTTATGATCAATTATTGATTTCTTTATTGGGATTTTCGTATCGAACAATTCCAGGTTTCTTCTAGTATTTTGGGCAATCGGTTTTCTTTTGCAAGGGGCGGTTCTAGAACATCAAAAGTTCGATTTTCATCATCGACCCGTAGGAAAGGTATGATTTTCTGGTGCTTGAATCTGTTGTCATCTGGAACTAGTGGTTTCGGTTGAACTTTTCAGCCGCGTTTGCTCCATTCTATATTCAGAATCTGGAATTCGTGATCCTAAACATGTCTATTGTTATTTTTGTAAGCTTGAGGCTTGTGATTCTGAGGTGAAATTGGAATAGTTCTTCGCTTCTAGTCTCTTCACATATATCTTTCTGTTTATGGGCTTCAGATTAATTGGATGAAGTTGCTAATAATGCTAACATGCTATTGATGTTAATTTGCTTAATTCTTTAAGTGCTTCTAATCAAGGATTTGTGCTAAAGCCTAAATCACTCCCATGTTGCAGTTGTGAAGGCTGTCGCTACTCCAGAATCAGCTATTGAGCTACCTCTTACAGCAGAAAACATTGAGAGCGTATTAGATGAAATCAGACCATATCTCATTGCAGATGGAGGAAATGTAGCATTACATGAAATCGATGGAAACATTGTTCGATTAAAGCTACAAGGAGCCTGTGGTTCATGTCCAAGTTCTGTAACAACCATGAAATTAGGGATTGAACGTCGTCTCATGGAGAAGATCCCTGAAATTGTTGCAGTTGAACCAATTCCAGATGAAGAAACTGGCCTTGAGCTCAATGAAGAAAACATAGAGAAGGTAAATGTTTCACTTCATAATTGCCCTCAAACATGAAAAATGATACAACATTACTTGTTTGGTTTGGATGGAATAAAAAGTCACAATCTTTGTCCTATTGACATCACACAGTGCAACCTGATCTGTCATATCATGTCAGTTGATCTGATGGTTTGAAATATGATAGGTGTTGGAAGAAATTCGACCGTATCTTGTGGGGGCCGCAGGTGGAGAAGTGGAGCTTGTGTCGATAGAAGAGCCAATTGTGAAAGTACGGTTAACGGGTCCCGCAGCAAGTGTGATGACAGTGAGAGTAGCCTTGACACAGAAACTGCGTGAAAAGATACCTGCCATAGCTGCTGTTCAACTTTTACAATAGATTCTTGTTTTTGAAACTATATGAAGTTTCTATAACATTTTGTAACAAATGAAATATTGGTTTTGGGATTTTTTTTTTCTCTTGTAGTTATACATCATGAAGTAAGCAGTATTGTATATTATTTGAAAGTTATTTTGGTTGTAATATGCTACAATGTTGGTTCACTTATATTTAAATAAGTAGTAGGTTGAAATTGTTGTTTGTTTTGTATGTTGAGTGAACAATTTTAATTATCCATTGTTTTGGATTAGAGTCTATTTGGTTGGATGAAATAATGATAAAGAATGTGATTTATTGGTAAATATAAATGTTTGTTGGTGTGATGAGAATGTAATGAATTTTTTCATATAGTTCTTTTGCATTATATAAAATATATGTTACAGTTATTTTTAGAATATAAGGAATTTAATAAAATTCCAACACTTTTTAAAGATTTGTGTTTTTGAATTCGTAAAACATGTGAAGTTTGTTTGGTCGGATGGAATGGAATGACCATAAAATGAAATAAATAATGTAATGAAATAGGTAAGATAATGTAATGGATCAATATATTTTATAAGATATATTGACCTCAATTACCACCAAAAAGAAAAGACATCAGTTGCCATCAAACCAAGAAGTACTTTTTTTGGATAATGACAACTCGCATAAAAGATTAGTCTCCAATACACTTTCACCTGAGTTGTCATCCAACCATTAAGATTGTCCGATACGGGGAAGAAGAAGACACGTGAACCCCGTCCCATATTCCGGTGGGGTGCGCTTGACGTGAGGTGAAAGATGGATGAAGATGGACTCGGTGATTGGTCAATTCATTTTTGACCGTTGTTACCGTTTGATGATTAAAAAAAATCTTTTTATTATTTTTTCAAATTCTCTCTATATATACATAATCCCTTTTATATATAATTTCCACTAAAACACACCCATATTTTTTTCAAAACAAACACACACATTAAACCAAAAAAATGGATATTTCCACCTTTGATATCTTCGTCATCCAATGATAACGATTCTAACGAGGATTTGATTTTGTGTACGCTGTTGTCCACGGCACAAGACATGGTACGTGAGAGGGGAGAAAGTTCAAACGTCGAGAAGAAGCATAAAAAATGGATCAATCGAAATCGAGAGGCGACACATGAACTTTTGGTACGTGATTATTTTGTCGTTGATAGTTTATATGATCTATCAAAATTTGAAGAACTTTTTCGTATTAGTAGAAATTTATTTTTACTTATAGCTAGAGATTTGGCACATAATTAGGAATTTTTCCAATTACGATGGGATGCTAGAGGTAAACGCGGTTTTACTATGATAAAAAAAATGTACAATCGCTCTTAGACAATTGGCATACGGCATCGCCGCAGATGCATCAGATGAGTATCTGAAAATGTCTAAAATGATGGGTCAAGAGTGTACATATCTATTTTGTGAGTATGTTATAGAGCTTTACCGTGACATATACTTTCGACATCCGACTAAAAGCGATGTCGAACATTTGTATATAGCGCATCAAGCTAAACATGGATTTTCAGGGATGTTTGGTAGCATTAATTGTACACATTAGGAGTGGGAAATTTGTCCCAACGCGTAGTGTGGTCAGTTCACGTGAGATGATCATGGGGTACCGACTGTTATTTTGGAGGCGATTGATTCAAATGACTTATAGTTTTGGCATACATTCTTTGGTATGGCATGGTCAAACAATGACCTAAATGTGCTCCAAGCGTCACCGATTTTTAACGATATTTTACAGGATAAAACACCATAAATGACATATAGTGTCAATGGAAATGAATATAAATATGGGTATTACCTAGGTGATGGGATATATCCATAATACGCTATTTTTTCAAGTCATACACATTTCCGGCTGACTATAAACGAAAAATGTTCAAGTTAGCATAAGAATCTGTAAGGAATGATGTAGAACAGGCGTTTGAAGTCCTCAAACAAAAGTGACACATAATCAAACATCCGACACGAACATGGGACATGGAAAATTTGACGACGGTGCTGACTACTTGTGTTATTTTACATAATATGATAATAAGAAGGTAGGGTTATTTGTTCTTATACCAATCCACCTGTAGTAATACAAGTTAGCAGGCCAACATACTTCTCAAAGGGTTTGGAAATACAAAACTGTGAAATACATCACAGTCTACGACCTGATTTGACTGAATACATGTGGGAAAGACAATTTCAATGGCAAATTGACGGAGAAGACGAGGAGGGTGACGATGGTGCCGACGAGGAGGATGAGGATAGTGACGATGAGGAGGATAACGCTGGTGACGACGAGGCGGATGATGCCAACGACAACAATGACGACGATTAGAATTTTTTGTGTTTTTTTATGTTTTTTAATTTTTATTTTATTTAGACAATGTGATGTTTAATTTTAGTAATTTAAGTTTTAAATTTCTATGGCTTTAACTAATGCAATGTGGTTTTATTTTTTTATGTTTTCAAAAAATTAGATGATGTTATAAATTATGTTTTTTATTTAATATAATGTTATAATGTTAAAAAAATTAAAAAAAAATAGAATTTGTGGAGTGGTAACCATTTTCAATGTTTAGTGGATTGATGGTGAATTTAACGTGGCGTACATGTGGTAGTACTTTTTCGGTGGGATGGGTGTCACCACTCCCCAAAGCCTAAATACAAATTCATAAATCTTGATACCATCTGCCTAGATTCAACCATGTTTTATTAGCTGTTTTTGATCTTTGTCATATTCCAACTTGAAGCCAATCGTAGGTAAGAATCGGGTCAATATATGTTTAAATAGACTAAAAACATAAATATTTCAAAAATCTCATACGCCCTCGACAATTCCAAACCATCTTTTCTATAGAAAAAATACTTCGAAAAATATTAATTGAGTTTGAAATTACCAGAAAAAACAGTTTTCGAAATTACTCTATGACGGAATAGATTTTTTAAATCTAAATGGGCTCGATAATTTTGATAAAGTTATTTCCGAAAAAACTTTTAAGTCGTGAAATCAGATTCCAAAACCATGGAGCATTTAATCAAATCTTATTTGCTTATAATATTCGAAATTCACATGTCAACTTCCAATAATTTATTTCCGAAGAACCTTTTGTTAGAAATATATTTTCAGAAATGCGAAATTTCAAAATTCACGATGATGTGTTCATATTCAAATGCATTTAAATTTTCAAAGGACCAAAATCTGCACTGTATTTTAAATTTTTTTGTACATGTGCAAAGGAAAAAAAAATTAACTCAACTTAAACTTTTTAAGATACCACAGGGACCAAATTTGCAATTTACTCAAAAAGAAATTAACAAAATAGACAAAAAATGCAATCACCATTCATAAGATAAACTCATAAACATACATAATCCCATCCCTTTTAATGCTCTTTAGGAACAACAAATATCAAAAAATCAACCCTCACACTTCCTACAATGATATAACAAAATTGAACTACAACCATAACCATATGCTTTTCTCCAAATCACAAAACAAAACAATTCCACATTTTGTAGAGATCTTGAAGACAAAAACATCATCATTTCAAACTTTCTCCCAAGTTTTTTAATGGCAGAAAAGCTTGATCACAGAATCAGCCCCTGCAGTGAACAACCATGGCTGCCTTGGATGAAACTTACAATCCAACACACCTAAACAACAACAATAACAACAAATAAGACAATTTGCTTATAACTAAAAATAGCATTCAGAAAGCAATTAAAGTAATAATAATAAGAAGAGACCTCTTCCATTTGTGTCTCTATGGCCATGAAGAATCTCCAAAGGAACAATAAGAGGATTCTGATTCAGATCTGAATAGACCATGCCATGAAAAACATAAGCTGTGGAATCATCTGAACAAGAAGCAAACAAAGGGTAGTTGCGATGGAAAGCCACATTTGTTATGTCTTTATTGTGAGATCTGAACACATTTGGAAATATCATATGTTAATGTTAGATTATTCATTCATAGATATCAATCATGGTATGTATTAATGAGAAACATACCTGAGAACTTTGTAAGGTTTTGAAGAAAGATCCATGTCAAACCAACATAACTTTCCATCTTTACTTCCCACAATAACATTGTCACCTGCATAAAAACAGTAATATAGTTTTCATTGAAAATTATTGATATAGAACAATAAACAAGGGGTAGAATTGGAAACATACCACCAGGATGAATGGAGACAGAAGAGATTTCACGAACTCCAGCTTCAAGCTTTTTGATGAACTTTTTCTTTACTAAATCATAAACTCTGACATTCTTTTTTGTTGAAACAAAAAAGATTGATCTTGTAGGATGAAAAGTTGAAGAAACAGGAAGACCATGTAATTTGAAGGGTAATCTTTGAGTAAGTTTCTTTGATAGAAGATGTATTAATACTGCTTTTGATTCACGTAAGAATTAAGTCAAGGTGTAAACAATTAAGTTATCATAATAAAATAAGTGCTTAACCCATTAAGCCAATTAAGTACATTAATTTAAAAAAAAAAAAAAAAAGGAAAAATAAAAAAAGGATATCTGCAGGCATAACAGTAGAGAAATAGTCTCCTTTTCGATGCCATTCCACAGATGAAACAGACTGCAATGACACTCAAAAACATGTGAATTAATTTTTTATTATCTAATTTAAGTTTTTTATTTTAAATACCTTGAAGTGTGTGATCCTGATTCCATCATATTTATCGTATTGAGACCAGCTTACACTGACAGCAGTTTCTATAACAAATCAAATTCAAGGTTTATGGTTTTTTGTTTAGAGAAGATTTATAAAAATAAAAAGTTGAAGAAAATTAACCAGATTCATCAGGGGAAGTGGGAGTTTCAACATGCAAAAGATCTGAAATCATCTTATCTTCTTCTTTCTCAAGCCCAGTGTTCAATAGAAAAACATCATGTCCCCTGAATATTTTTCACATACAATCATTACAACTTTTGAAAAAATATATATGTAAAAACAAGTGATTTAAATTTAATGAAGTGATCTTACATTGAAACAGCTAAAATGGGAAGCTCAGGTAAAGGATTCCATGCAACATGCTTCACAGGTTCACCTAATTCCCAAATCTTGATACATCTACCAGATTCAACCTCCCATATACGAACACTTCCATCATGTGAGCCTGTTTAATCATAATAAATTTTTAAAAAAAGAACACAAAAAACATGTCTCCACTGAATTTAAAAAGAAAATCAGAATCTAGAATATGTTACCAGAAGCAATATACTGGCCAGATGTGTCAGTGCAAATTGAAGAAACTGGACCTTTATGCCCTTTATACTCAAGATAACATGTTGTTGGATAAGGTTTAAGATCTTTTCGACTTGGAAGCTTGGGTTTTAAAGACTCTGGATCTATATTAATCTGAAAAAATCACAAAACTTTTAAGTTATATGAAAAGATTAAAGTCAGAAACTGATATTTAAAGATCTTTATGTGGGACCCACTTACACGCTTCTTTCGTGCCCTAGGGCACAAGTATAAGTCCAAACAACGATCAAAAGTTTCCCTCACACTTTTTTCATAAGCTGGAACACTTCTCAAAGATGTGAACCTAAAAGATTGAAAGATAAATATATATTAGTACATGAATCTTGAAATTTAAAGCCAAAATCAAGATTCAAGAAAGTGGATTTACCGTTTTGGGATGAACTTAGGCCTGTCCTCCTCAAACATAAGCTGATAACCACTAATCTCTTCTTGAGTTGGAATATATTCCAAAGATGGATTATACGATTCATCATGGCCTAAAAGTGATAAAAGTTTATGAGAAAAAGAAAACATCATGAAGTTTGAAGAGTTTAGATTTTGGAAACAAGAATATGAAGGAAATCAAACCTGGTAATTTAGTTTTGGGAGCAGGTATGTATGATAACCCATGTCCTTTTTCATTTGAACTAGATTCATCACCCCATAAGTTATAAAAACGGGGTTGTTCTTTTGGCTTATCGAATGTTATAAGTCCCTTTCTAATTGCTCTGATGTATTTAACAACCTTTTTGCTTTCCCATTTTGAAGGAATAAAACGCCTTTTTGGTTCTGGAGCATTTGAGAGTGGATGTTTAGCACCATCCCATGAAAACCAATCAACATAAGGCTGCAAAAAAAGGGAAAGGATCAGTGTGGATTCGGTTATGTAATTGTTATTGTTAATCACATTTTGATGTGAAATTACTAAAAAGGACACTAACTGCATGTGGATCAAAGTCTGCATGAGGGGCATGTCCTTTCAATAGTCTGCGAATAAGCTTAGTTTCTTCTTTAGTAAGTTCAACTTCCTCATCTTCAATATCATCTGTGATCTTGCGCCTGAAATGTTTTGAAAAAAATGATATAAAGTTTGAATCTTTTTTTAAAATGAATCAGTTTATGTGAAAAAGATTCCAACCCACCAACTATTTGAGTCATCTGTTCTTGCTAAAAACGAATCGAGTTTATCTAGTCTTTCCTTTTTCTTGATTTTCTTTCCAGCAACATCATATCCAATATGTTCTTCTTCCTTATACCATTCCAAAGGAACATCACCAATAGTGTTCCTAGGTCCAACCTGTTATAAAAAACAAATATCAAAACCACATTCATACTATGTATTGGAATAACATATAAATGAAACCCCTAGTGAAGCTAAAAGGAAATGTTATAGTGGACCTCATCTTCTGATGAATCACTCTCATCAACTACTTCACGAGAATCTTCACTTGCACTTTGATCTCCTTCACTATGATCATCAACTCCATCACTCAAATCACCTTCACCTTCGTTGATTGGGTTCTCATCATCCTGATATTATAGTAATAGAGATAACTCAGGATTACATTTATGGTATACTTTATAATTTCCAGAGGAAGCGCAAAAACTTTTTCAGAATTATGAAGTTCCTTAGGACTAAAATAAAGATAAGAGATAATTAGATATAGGTAACTGTATATTACACGTATGTGTGTCAAGTTATTGATGGTGTGTGCTTTAAAAGATCTTTGCAATTCACTACAAAGTTAATTACTGTTTACCTCATCTTCCGAGAATTCACTCTGTTCAGATCCTGATTCTGATTCTGAATCTGAGTTCCTTGAAGAGTCGTCACCCTCAGAGAAGCTCTAGAATCAGACAAACCACATTAACAAGCATAAGAAACAGATTCGTAATGCTCTTGCAAAATTATAACTTCAATGTGCACATATCAATAGTAATACAAACATGTAGCTTTAGAATTTACTACCCCCTCCCCCCTGTGTTTGCGCCATCAATCTGATTACTCAAATTAAAAATAAACCTCAAAAGTTGCCCGAGTACGATTCAGTTGAACATTCTAATAAAACACCATCGGACGACACCAATTTAATCATGTGCAACTATGTGTTCACTTTATCAACAATGGAGTGTTAGAAATTGAAATACGAACATACCCCATAATCATCATCCGAAACGACAGGACTTTCTACACCGTCGTCCTCAGAACCACTAAGAGCTTCTTTTCCGTTCACAACATCTTCTTTCTCTACTGGTTTCAAATCCTCATCCTTCAGCTTCTTCCTCCCTTCCTTCTTCATCTTCGATGTTCAATGCTTGTATGAAGGGATTCAGAACATATGACGAAAGTGGGTTTTAGAAGATGAACGCGGCAAGAGTAAGAGAGAGAGGATGCAGCAGGGTTTTAGAGGACGGTATGAGAAAAGCCCTAAAATTAAGAGATTAGCAAAATATTACTCTATAGTCCCCTCAAGTCTTGAAATTTTTGAATTTGAGCCGCATAATTGTAACAAAGTTCGGTTTAGGCCACTTTTTTGTTTTTATTTTAGTTGCAATAAAATACATTTTCTAAAATTGTACTCATTTTGTGAAGGAGGTGTTTATTTATTTTGTAGAGTTCATCAATGGAAATTGTCATTTGATCATCGAAACTTTCTCTTATTCTAGGTCGGTCCAAATATACTTGATATCTGAAGAAAAACCAAAATAAGAAACTCCTTGGATATCAAGTTTTGAAACAAAAAACTTATTCGTCTAACATTTTTTAATTTTAAAAGGTATGGTCGGTACGATCATTAAAGACTATTTTCCGTGGCGAAGTCAATCGCAATGAGCATTATTTGAAGCTTCACCATTTGGAAGATTCTTAGGAATGCATGTCCCTAATGGTGACCCCTTTCTCGTGCATTTGATGATGTTGCATGAAGTACAATCTCAAGAAGTGTTTGAATCAGTGAGGTTTATGTTTGAGATGTAGTATGTGTAGTTGGATTTTGGTGAAATGGAGTATATTTTGATTAGTGGGTTAAGAGTTGGTCCTTATGTCGATTTACTCTAAAACGAAAAAAGGTCGGTTAAATTCAAATCTTCAGGCTTGATTGTTCTCAAACATTACAGATGCACATTTGCTGCTCAGAGATAAAGATATGGTAATGCTTATCCAACTTGTTTTTATGTTGAAAGGTCTCCATGGACGGGACATTAAAACGTGCATTCTTGCGGCAGTATACAAGCTTGTTGACAATATATATAATTGGAACAGGTATTACATTTAAAAATTATGTATAAATACAAAAAAAAAATTATAACAAATAAATTGAAAATTACAGGTTTGCATGGGGTACATATTTATGGACCTATACTTCGGGTTGATGCGTGAATGTTTGAGAATTTAGAAAAATTTTAAATATTTAAGCAGGTCAATCCTGTATCGACGAAAGTACACAAGTATAGCGTTCCCGGTTTTATACTTCCGTTTAATGTTAATTTCTAATGTATTTAAATAGTTATCATACTTTTGTTTTTTTATATCATAATAGCATTGTACTTCCGTTTGTATACTATAATAGCATCATACTTCCCTTTTTCCATAGATATGGATTTTGGAAACGTTCCCAGAGGCAACACATATTATGCTCACATGCCAACAAAATTTGCCACGAATGAGGACGTGGAGAAAAATCCGGATGTTACAATTCTCCCCCACTAGAATCAGACTTCGCCCTCGAAGTCTCACTCTGCAAACAACTTTGGATGCTGCTCACGCATCTCGCGCTCTGGCTCCCAAGTCAGCTCTGACCCTTTCCTATGCTGCCACTGGACCTGTACACTTCCTTGTTCCGCATAACCTTGATCTTCCGATCTCTAATTTCCATCGGTCACTCAACATAGTTCAGGCTCACATCCACCATAATATCCTCTAATGGTACCACTGCCGACTCATCGGCTATACACTTTCTCAATTGCGACACGTGGAAGATGTCATGTATCTGACCCAACTCTGCAGGTAGCTCCAAACGGTAGGCTACCCTGCCTACTCTTGCGATCACCTCGAAAGGTCCAATATATCGGGGCCCCAACTTGCCCCTCTTCCTGAATCGGATCACTCCTTTCCAAGGAGAGACCTTCAGGGGCACGAAATCGCCAACCTGAAATTCGAGCTCGGACCGGTGCCTGTCCGCATAACTCTTTTGGCGACTCTGAGCGGTCAACAACCTCTGTCTGACCTGTTGAATCTGCTCGGTCTTCTAAAGTGCAATCTCTGTACTACCCATCACACGTTGGCATACCTCTCCCCAGCAATTGGGGGTCCGACACCTCCTCCTATACAACAGCTCAAAGGGTGGCATACCGATGCTCGAATGATGGTTGTTGCTATAGGAAAACTCATAGAACCTCAACCCCATAGTTGAACTTCCATGGTTACCCATGACATGATTCAGAATGTCTCACTAACTTCCTTCTCGTGTCAACTATCTTGGCCCAGTGACACACAAGTCACAAAATTCTCTTTACCTCATACGAAAACTACAATCCAACCGAAGATCGACTCAACCTCGACCTCTGATGTCTGCTGCACATATCTCATGTGCATCTCGCAGTATCTCCCGTATCCGATTACTGACCTATACAGGTTTTAGACATCGGACGACAACAATACCATCATCCAAGAATTCACCTCAGAATTCCAGAATTTCATCTCGTTTACCCATACACCATCAATGCCAACTCAACTCGAGAGTTTGGTCCGACCCAAAGTTGGAACCTCGCTACCCAATAAGATACTTTTCTCATGAATCGGCCTGCGCCCCGTGCAATACCACTTTTCCAACTTCCTCATGTTGCGACAATCACAACTCAAAAAAATATATAATGATTCCCGACAGAGACGGAGACCCCAGTCTCACCCCTGGTTCAACCACCAGGCTCCAAAAACACAATACTATGGCTACTCAAGCCTAAAACTCTTTTGCATCATACACTGATCGGAGAACACCCCTTCATCACACTCTCTTGCCGTCTAGTGAGTACTATGGCTCCCCACAACATCACGACAACCTATGACTAGTGAGTACTACAGCTCCCCGTAGCACCACAACACCAACTGACTAGTGAGTACTACGGCTCCCTGCAGTACCACGACTCCCTCTCTCTGACTTGTGAGTACTACGACTCCCCATAGTATCACAACACCCTCTGACTAGTGAATAATATGGCTCCCCGTAGCTTCACCCTATATTATCATTCTCATCACAACGCCACACTACGTCCACTAACCCATGCTTCGTAGACTATCATAGATAACTACACACCCTTGTCCCACATGTGCATCACAGACTCTGGCAGTAACCGCTATAACAAAATACCTACCTCTGCGGAGATCCACTTTCTTAATTACTCCCTCTTGATGCCAATACCCGAAGGGCTCCCAATGGAACTGTAGATACATGATACACCACTAGTCGTTCAAACTCAAGATTCCAAATAACTCTGAAATCAGAACATTATACCCATGTATTACGGAACACCATTACAAAACATCCCAATGTCTTGCCTCAACCACTGATCTCCTACTCCCAGCACCATACAGATACAACAATACATTTCCTCTAAACCCCATAAATAATTCTTCATTTACCTAAGGCACAAATTCAGTGTATCCGAAAACTCAATTGGAATACAAAGAAAATGCTAACGTTTTAGAACACGTTGATGATCCTCCGAAACCCTTTCCCCTACCGCTCAAAATCCAAGCAAAAATACACATACCGGTCCGGGAGTTGGTTGCTCGATAATATTCTATCCATACTTCGACCTAGAAGTCCTCAACTGCCCATACCATCATTACGAGCCTACCACTCGAAACGGCCCCGACCACCACCAGATTCCTGACCAGCGGCCACCTTCCGTGGAGACACTCATCCTTTCTCAGACATGCACCACATGCATTATCTCGCTCTGCACCTCTCCTTGATCACCAATGACCCTGGTCTCATGAATTCGAGTCGCAGGTCTCTGTATCCAACCCCTAATAGCTCTTTGCACAAATCTCTGGTTTCCTTAATAAAATACCCGGTTCTCCCCCACTTAGGGTTCGAACCATCACCAATTGAAGCATCAACAATCTACCCCACAGACGGTTTCTGTCATAAACATCGCATCTACGCTTGGAAGGTGCCACACAACGCCTAATGATCTCCCCACTAGGGATCAAGAAACCTCAAATACCCTAAATCTCCGATGAAATCCTCATGAATTTCTCATCACGACTGCCCCTCGCCGTCCGAAGCTTCATACCATCCCAATACCAAACATCCCAACTGTCCAGTACTATCACTGACTCTTAGACTGCACAACAAATCATCATACTCCTCACCCTCGACTTCTCAACCCCCGTTCCAACACGTGAATCATCACGAGAATAGGGACTCCACTACCATACTCAATACCCATCATAGACAGAATAGCCACCTCTCTGATATACTCGTCTGGATTACCCGCTGATGCCGCTACCACACGCCCTATTATACCCAATTAGGGTATAATATGGTCCTTAACCATCTCAGTCCCCACTGACTACCTGCTCATGGTAGATCATTTCCTCGCGGTAGACCTGTTTCCTGCTATGTTGGTGGAAAAATCGACATCAATGTCAACCCGAAGGGTTTACTCCTAAACCTAGAATTGAAATCTCACGTTTCTCTTGTATCCCACAAGAAACATAAATAGCACCCATCAGATCACAGAAGGTGACATCTCCTCCATCGTCTGATTGCTCACTCAGACCGCAATCCCCCATAAATGTCTTATCTACTAATCCCTGAGTCTTGCGACTGCATCTGATATCTTACCAATAATACTCTAAAATGCTCTCGACCTCCCTCTCAAGGGATGCCTCTTCGGACTCAATCATGGCCCTTAGGCCTAAAACTCCATCGCGTCCAAACTCCACCAATCAATCCTGACCGGACAACCAGAGAATCGCAAGCATCATTTGCTAAGAACCATGGTACTCATCCCATGACATCTCTCCTCAATCGGCTATAATATGTGGTACCCGAACTATTACATCACCTCCTCAATCTGCTAAGATGTATGGTACTCGAACCATAACATCACTCCTCAATCTGCTCCGATGTATGGTACTTGAACCATAACATCAATCCTCAGTCTGCTCCGATGTATAGTACTTGAACCATAACATCACTCCTCAGTCTTCTCCGATGTATGGTACTCGAACCATAACATCACTCCTCAGTGAAATGCTCTACTCCGCCAGCGTACTCATCTGGCTAAGGTTACTCCCTAGGCTCTTCCTTGGTCCTCACACTTCTCCGCCATCAGCTGCTGAAGAGCTCCTAATGATGCCAACCATCTACCTCCTGAATATCGTCATATTCACTCGGTAGTGTATCATCA